CAGGAGGATCAGTTCGACTTCCACAGCTTTTCGTTGCGGAAAGGACAGATCCGTGCTTACGTAGATATGATTCGATGGGAGGACCATATTCGCGAGCATCCATTCTATACCCGCGCTGCCCTTGGCGCAATAGCGATATACGTTAGCATGTACGACAGCCAGCAGGCGGTCAATGGCGTGGATGGATCTTCAGGCGCCAACGGAGACGATGCCGCAGAAAGGAAGAAGGCTGCCAAGAAAGCCAAGAAAGAGGCGCAAAAAGCCGAGCGAGAAGCAGCAGAGAGGGCCGCCAAGCAAGACCCGAACAAGTCAAAGGCTTCCGCTGAGCCTATCAAAAGGGATGATGACCCGAATGGATACAGACTCGTCACGACGACCGAGCCCCTAGCCGAAGCAACCAAATTCCTCACCCCTATTCTTCAGTTTAGTCCTAAGTACATCGATGGGCAAATCGCTGGCTTTGAGGTCTTCGTTCGAAGAGGTAATATCAATAATCTTAGATGTGAACCAACATGTTGCTAACCGTCTTGTAGAAAAATACCTCCTCGCCCTTAGATGTCTAAACGCCGCGTTGGCAATAGATTCAGACCACCCCGCAGTCCACGAGCAAGTTGTACGATTCCGTAAAATCCTTAACGACAAGCTTGGATCTTTACCGCCGAAGGTTGCCGAAGTTCTGAAGTCTGGGTTCACTACTATAGACGCCTCAGCAGACCTTAAGAAGTTCAATGCCGACTTCCAACAGAAGCATAAGGATAGCGCAGAACACATCATCTCGGCTGTTCGAATAGAGAGGCTGCTAGGAGAAGACAAGACGAAGAATGAGAAAGACCTCGTGGGAGTTCTCAACTTAAAGGAAATACACTATGACACAGCATCAGAGGCTCTAGCTCTCCTAGAGCAATGGCGCAGCGCCGAGGCCGAGACTTTCAAAAAGGTGGCTCATGAGAAGTGGCCAGAAGTTACCGCATTTGCGTAACGGCAGCTGAAAATGGGGCATACGTACTTTAGAAAAATCGGAACCCTCCTTCTTCCCGTCATCTATCCACTATTTCATTCATCATCGGGCCCGTTTCACGAAAGCATGAGGATCAGGAAGGCAGACAGTGCATTGCATCTTATTCCCGACAGGACAGGGGAGCTGAGTATGTAAGGCTTGCATAGTCCCGCGCTAAGCATGGGCTGGGAATGGAAGACTAAAAAAGAAAAGAAAAGGGCAAATAGACAGCGGGTTTGCGCTGTGTCATTTATCGGGATGTAGCTAGGTGTGTTCCTCGAAAAGGAACTATCAAATAGGCACAGAAAATGAGAAAGTGAAAATGAGTTGGCTAAACGTTTGTCCTCTTGACTCCTCCGTAGCTAGATGACTATCTGATTCATGAAACTGCCCAGTGATCCAGTGACTGTGGTACTGGAGCTTATGAGCTCTCTGCAGCGATATCTTGGCGAATCTTATCAATAGCAGCGTCGCAAAGCGACAAAAATGAAAGGATTTCTATCCACCGTTGTGGGCTTGATGGAATAAATGTGATACTGTGACTACCATTGATTTTTTCACACCTTGCAGTCAAACGTCCCCGTCGTAAAAGCCCTGGTTGCGGGACCCCTGGCCCCGCAATGTGACGCGTGAAGTTGTGCAGTGCGGCCTTGCGGAAATACCGAGCAGGGACATATCTACTAGCGAATACTATCTTATATGAAGTAAGGTTAAAGAGCCCAGATAATGGTTCTCCTAGACGATCATGCAGATCACGCCGACGTATAGAGGTGACAACTGAGATTTTGTGAACTAAGTTTTGACTCTCTTGGGACAATTCAGGTGTTCGAGTACATCTCTCGGGACATGCTAGTGGCGTATTGCGAAGTTGGACTAGTGTGACGCGTTCTAGGTTGATACGGATACAGCCCTTCGACTTGATTCTTCCTTCGATACCGGGCGGGTAGACGGCGAGGATGTGTGGATAGAACTCATCGGCCAGAGCTCGGCTCTCACTGCACGCCCAGATGATGCGAGTTACGGTCTCTCGTCGCGGCAGTAGGACTTCGAAGTTGGTGAGAGGATGGACCTGGATACATTGGGTTCTAGATTCGAACTCTAGGGCCTCTCTCCAGATCATAATGCGTAACTCGGCCGGGAGACGCGGGAAGAACTGGAAACCGGACCGCTTATATGATGGCATGGTTGATGAACACTTGAAAAATAGCTTAACTGTGCGTGATAAACAGAGTAAATATGGGCCTAAGGTATATATGTCTGGTTGTGTTTGGATGTGTGGGTGTAATCGCAGGTTGATGGCAAAGGTAGAAGGATGTAATGAAGGTGAACATGGTTGGAGAGCCAAAATGTGAAGAGAAAGGGTTTTTATACCAGTCCATCATGAAGATTAGGTAAGTTCTCAGAACCTAGATCGAGTATAGTTACCTAGAGTATAGATTTGTGCACTTTTTCACGCAGAATTCTAATTCTATTAGCTCTGCACATCCATTCACATTCACGTAAAGGGGGGTACTCTAGACACCCCAGTCACCATATTTAATGCATGGGTGCAGATAGCTGCTTATATACCTAGCCTGCAGCTGTAACCCTACTGTCATCATCATTAAATAAAAAGATACCTACCTACTAGGTATTCTTCAGTATTTCTAAGATACTAAGAAAGTCAAAAATGCCCTCATTTCAGTATCTAGGGCACAGTGGCTAGGTGTCTGGATTGAGTGATAGATATGACTAGGAGTATATCTTGGTAGGGCTTTGGCTTGATATTGGACTCAGAATTATATTGAACCTTTCACTAGAAGAACTATATACCTACCTCCTATATACGAATGAGATACTCCTGACCCCCCAAAACTACCCGAGACCTATCTAGGTACCTACCTAAAAGGTTATCAGACTTTGGAAAATTCACAGCATCATGATCACCTGAAGGACATTTAGGAAACAATATCATAACCATAATGCTTGATTGGCTTCTGTGTAGGTACCTATCTATGTCTCATTACATGTGACAAGCCACTCATACCCTTCGTATCATGGTATCACAATTCTCAGTATTCAATCTCTTAAGAGAATCTGGGAATCAGAGATACTTAGGAAGGAATGAAAATAGATGCCATTACTCTCCGGAATTGTGGCTGAATATATGATGACTTCTTGCTCATCAGTGAGATAATTAGCCAGTAGATGAGCCTATTTTTGCCATATGGTTTCTACTTGGGGAATGAAGTATACCCCGAAGAGTACAACATGAAACTACGGTCTATAACCAGCCCTCTGGCGCATCTTCCACGTTAAGTAACGGATAATATGATTTTCTATCAAAGGTAAGTTTCTTATGCCATTGTTTTCCCGCGGACAAATGCAACGGTGATTCTCATCGATATCGGGGTCCATAAGCACGTTTTCTCTGCCTGTAACTTCGACTTTTTCACCCCAGACTAGTTCTCTTGGTTTGTATTCATCCGCTACAGGCCTATTATATCGCGCTTCGAGGATATACTCCAGGAACTGATCGACTTTGGCCACTGTGTTGGGGCCCCAGGGGTAGAATAAATATCGTTTGATCTCAGGAAAGTCTTTCTCAGACCAAAATTGATCCACGAGAGCTTTACGGAACTGCCGCTTTTGGTAGGGGCAGCACTGAGGGGTGTCGTTGGGGTGGAGACCTCTATCTGCAAACAGTGCGATGACACTCCGTATACGATGTCGGTCGTTCCAGATACTTCCGGTGGTATATTTAGGTAAGACTCGATATCCAGGGAAGGGATAGCGAGAGCGGACATTGGCATTGGCCAGATTGGAGTCCGGTAACGTCAGAATTCTTGACTGTGTCATTGCGAACACATCGTCCTGGAAGCCGAGTGCGCGGCCACGTGTAAACTTTGGGTCTTCGCCTGCTGCAAATATGTCATGCTTGGAGCTAATGTATACAAACCAGCCTTCGTGGGGGATTTTAAGGGGGATATCATTGAACCAATTGATCTGGCGAGAGAATAGCTGGTCATAGTGAGAATCGACAGTCCGCATGTTGTATAGGGGTAGCCTTATGTCCAAGTACTGTAGAATACATTCTCTGCTTTCTCTGTTGATAGAGAGCATTGGCGAGACAAGAGATCTAGTAGGAATAATGTTGAACAACAGCCGATTCAACAAGACTATGCGCCCCTCTGCAAATTCCTGGCGTCGTACCTCTTCCCAAATAAGGCGTCGTACATCTCTATTCAGGTAGTTCAAAGAAATAGGTTTTTTGGCGGGGGGACGATTTGGTTCCAATATATGAGCGATAGAGCTGACCCCTGGACGACATAGACGACCTGTGTGTAGCTCAGGGGGAGGCGTGCTGAAGCCGGTCTTTCTATTCCACAATGTCATCTTGGAAGAGAGTACGGTACCTAAATTTGTGGTACAATATTGTCTCCGTTGAAATCTTCTTGGAGTTTTATATATGTATGTTTATAGCGAGATGGACACCTATTAGTCTGTAAGTGGCAAATAGTGCCTAGTGAGGAGTCGCAAACTTATTGTCTCGGTGATAGATCAGCAAATCCATTCCTAGTAAATAACACCTGACTTATTGATACTAAGGAGGCCTTTATTCGTGAGAGTGTTATGGACATTAATAGAAAACATGCATGCTTGCTTATTCAAACAGGTAGAACATTGCGACAATAAAACTCAAACACAGGTGTCGACAAAGCCAGTAGATTGTTAGTTCTGAGATTCGTGTCTTATAGACGCCTTGGGCAGATCCTGAAAATGCTTCCCTGAATTACTATACCGCTCGTCGCATTCTACGGCAATCTTGTCTATTCGCGAAGAGTGATTGTTTCTTGTCAATATGGATACGTACCACTGCGTCATGCAGAAACCACTGCATTCTCCAAAAAGGGGTTAGGGGGCGTGAACGTAGCGTAGAATATATAGGCTAGGTTTATGTCGGAGTTAACACAGTACAAACAAAGCAACCCCACCTCCTATAGTGTGACTGAGAAATCACTTAGGCTGCCTGGCGAAATGGTATCGCGTCACTTTCCGGTTGGGTTTATCCCTCTAGAACATGGTGAAGATTGCGGGTTCGAGTCCCGTGGTGGTCGGTTTTCATTTTGCTAATTTACCCCCAAATTGTCTTATTTTTCTCCTTTTTACCCTTCAATGACTCTATGTCCTACAGCTTTGTCTGTTGGCGTGAATTAATATTTTATTCGTCGCATCTCTTAAGCTCGTCGCCTCATTTCTTGTCGTTTTGTTCTATATTTGGTGACACCAACCATCTGAACGCAAATCACTGGATATAAAACCACAATACGTTATTTACTGACTTTGCATTAACGTCTGTCTAACCTAGCATTGAGAATTAAGCGTAGGTGACGATGATTACCTATAGAAATCGATATGAACAGTACCGGCGCACTATATACACCCCAACCCGCGAGCCCGTAATAGAACTATAGCCATTGCTATTATTCCTACTTTCAACCTGGAATCCTCCTTCCAAATCGAAAATTAGGAGGGCTTCTCCAATTTTAACGACGTGTGATCGCGAATGGACTAAACGGGCATACCGTTCTCCATGATCTTCTTGCCTTTCGCATCGTAGGATGTGACGCTGAAAGCCTCGTAGTCGTTGTTGTCCCGCAGATCATCCTCGTCGACCTTAATGCCCTCCATACATCCATGGCCGAGTTTGGGCCAGGCCGGAGGCACGGAGTCCTCGGAAGATTCTCGTGCTGCTTGGTTCTGGTTGCCGGTGATGCTTCCCTTGGGCTTTAGAGTGGTGGGGTGCGGGTCTGGCGTGGATACCTTGCTGGAATAGTGGGTTGGTCCGACGTTGATGTTGGAGTCCGTCTTTATGCGCGCATTGTCGTAAGAAGATAGGCGGCCATCTTGAGCGTTGGCGCGTTTAGGCTCGTGAACGGGGAAGATCGGGAGGTCGGGATGGATCTCTGTGATGTACATGAGGATGTTGACGAGCTGGGTGTGAGGAACGCCGGATAGATATTTTCGTTTCTGTATGATTGTTAGATTTGCCTTATAATATACGCACCCGGTATGTAGCCTTGCTATTCATAAATGGAATTTCATTGATAGAGTCAAACGTACCTGATCAGAGCTCTTAGCCGACCAACTCACACCTTTGAATCCGTCAAGGCTCTTCTTGCGTGCAAGATGGCGCTCTCGCTTTGCCAAGCACACACGACAGAACCACGGGCGCGACTCATTGCTAACGAAGTCGTCATCTATGTACGGATCGTGGCACATCTGATGCCAGCAGCAATTGCAGCCATCGCAGAACACTATCTGGTTGGCGGGCACGCTTGCGCTGCGAGTGCATAGCTTGCACAGTTGCTGCTCCGGGGTGCGCTTGCCGTAGTTCTTACGCTTCTGCGCTGCGGCGTCCCGGGCCGATTGCGCGGAAGGATTATACTGCGACGGCTTCTGCACCTGTCGTCCGGACTTCGTCATCGTGAGAACTGACTGGCTCTCCTGTGCGGCGACGGTGCCGGATTCTTCGCTCTCCGAGAGCTCGCTAAGGCTCGAAGTCGCGTCTTCGTCGTCGTTATCCTTGCCGCGCTTGCGCTTCGTGCCGCGATGAGCCTTACTCTTAGGTTTAGGCGCGGGCATCTTCGGCGCCTGGGCCGAGGTAGCAGATGATGGTTTGGCTGCAGCTTGAGTCTGGCTCTTAGCCGGGGCTGGCGTGCGCAGTTGGAAAGCATCGTTCATCGGCATGCGCATGGAAGTGGCGGTTGATGATGATTTTTGTTTTGAGTGTGATTGCTTGGGCAATGACATAGGCATTGGCATCGTTAGAGACGTGTTCATGTTCATTACGAGACGTCTCTTAGCATCCTCGTAGGTCGACTTCTCGATGCTCGCCTTAGCCATGGTCGATGATGCGGATGATAGGGCTGACGACAAGCTGCCTGGTTTGGAACTTATCCGCTTCAGGATCATCTGTGTCGCTGCCGAAAATTGCGGGACGTACGGAGGACGGCCAGTGGAGCTAGCTGTACTCGGCGCCGGGCTTGGTGCTTTGGTGGCTGGAGCTTCTTGCGCTGGTTGGGAAGGAACTGTAGCTTCGACCGGCGTGGCGGGTGTATCGCCGTCTTTATCTTTGGCGATTGAAGCCATTGTGCTATCCTCTGCCGACATCGCGAAAAGAGTGGCACTTGTAAAGGGCGACCAAGCCACCTTTTCCGGGAACTGCGGGCGGTGTTAGTGATGGATGCGACGACGAAATTGGTGATGATGACTTACCTTAAAAATGCGGCAATATATAAGTATCCGCACACCGGGAAAAACGTCTGCTCGAGTACTTGTACTCAATTTCCCGATCGTCTTACTAGAAGTTGTAAAAGTTCTGGAATTGAGGATGGAAAGTTGAAATTCATAGGTGGAGGCCGGTACACGTGATATTCACGTGATGGTGCGATTTCTCGGTAGGTCCCTCCTAGGTTACCAAGTTACTCGCACCGGAATTGTTTCAAGTCTCGATTAAGTTTAGACGTTTTGTGTCGTCGAATATCTCAAAGTTTGGGAGATGAAATGTCCATATTAGCTGCATACCCACCTTCGATATATTGATATTCGTGGTTCGACTCAACACTCAAGTTCCACAACCCCAACCCCTATTTTAAACACTCCTCTAACCATTACTTCAACCACCGCTCCCCTTCCCTAGCTGTCACATAAATCAATATCGATTATTAGGCTATCAAATTTGAGCTGTGTACTATTTTAGTCATTTTATTTGTCAAATTCTACCTTACAGCTCCTTTCTCTTTTAGTGCAGCCACCTCACCCGCCTCTAATCCGAGAATATCAGATAAAATTTCATCCGTATGTTGACCTAACGTCGGAGGAGCAGTCCGGACACTAGGGTTACTCTCACTGTATTTAACAGGCGTGTTTACCAGCTTGATCGGACCGCATTGCTCGTGATCTATCTCAACCACCATATTTCGAGCCTTGGTATGCTCGTGGTTCAATGCACCCTGAACATCGTTAACGGCGGCATATGGCATGCCTTTTCCCTCGAAGACGTCTAACCACTCTTGTGTCGTCTTTTGAACACTAATCTTCTCGATCTCGTCTTCGAGCTCGACTCGGTTGGCCACTCGTTGTGAATTAATACTGTATTTCGGATCCGTCTTCCACTCTGGTCGCCCTAGACCATCGCACAAGATTCCAAATAACCTATCGTTTCCACCACCGAAGAGCACGTCTCCATCTTTCGTCTTAAACGATTTGTACGGCACGATTGATGCTGCGAAATGAAATTGTTAGAGTCGCTCACAGGAATAAGTTCAATTTCTTCACTTACGATGAGCTGTGCCCCATCTACCCGAGTCTTTCTTTCCGCTAATTAGACAGCTACTTGCGATATTGGCGAGTGTGGCGGTTTGGCAATCGCTCAGGGCAACATCGATGCGTTGGCCACGCCCTGTTTTTGCCCGAGATAAAAGGGCAGCCATAATACTGTTACTGGTGTAAAGTCCGGTGGTTAAGTCCGTGACAGCGACGCCCACTTTCACCGGAGGTCCGTCTCGATTACCAGTGATGTGCATCAGCCCAAATTCCGCCTCAACCATGACGTCGTATCCGGCTCGTTGCGAGAACGGCCCCGATTGACCGTACCCCGTGATCGAGGCATAAATCAAGCTAGGATTGATTTTATGTAATGTTTCGAAGTCCATGCCGTACTTCTTGAGAGTGCCTGGCAGGTAGTTCTCGACTAGGATATCACATTTTTCTGCAAGCTTATGCAGGATCTCTACGCCCTCGGCATGCTGGAAAGATAGGCCGACCGATTTCTTATTGCGATTTACCTAAATATAAATTAGGGTCAATGGTGGCGTATCACGACATCTGCGACCGTGCAACTCACACCTAGGAAATAGGCAGATTCACCTGGACCTTCAAGGTGAGATCCGTCTCGGTAGGATGCATACGGCGGCCCCCAAGCCCGCGTATCATCCCCGCGTGTCGGGTGCTCGATTTTGATTACTTCTGCGCTTGCATCCGATACGATATTAGCTCAAAGTAATCTTTGCGTCATAAAAGTGATGTATCGTTTGTACCCAAGGTCGCCAAGGATCTGTGTGCAATACGGCTACGGCAAGGTTAAAAGTAAGCGAATGCGCACATAGCTGAGGCTGTAAGGATCGTCGCTACATACGCCAGCTAGAACCCTAGTCATGTCCAGCACGCGGTAACCTGTCAGAGGCAGTGACGATGACGATCTTTCATCTTTCACCACGGAATATCGTCGTACTAAGCCAACTTGTTGATAATTCCTAAGGAGCGTCGTGCCGCGAATGGCACGAGCTGCCGTGCGACTGAACATGACGATCTATCCGCTTTATCGGCGGTGTGGAACCTGATGGAATGGCTATATCTGCTGGCATCCGAGATCTCCGTGCAATGTGACAATTTACAAGCTGACGCCTTTAAAAGTAGGCCAAAGCTCAGATACGACAGGTCGATGTCTAATGAAAGAATTGACTTTTTACGTATGTAACACATGAATTGTTTCTCATCGGATGCCCTTGCCAGGTACGGAGGATCATTCGAACGAATACCGCGGTCCGAACATCGACGGTGGAGTTGTTCATAGCGAGAAACGGCCGCTATCCCCCATCAGCTGAAATACATCTGCTAGGTAACATACCTACCCCACAATATCCATTGATAAGACTATTATTAGTGCAAAAGAAAGAGACTGGTTCCTGGATTCCCTTCCGCGTCCCTTGCCTTGATGGGGAAGAACGGATTTCCCATGGCGTTCCTAGCTAGCGGCAGTAAGCTGACACCACGTTCTTTTCCTTCATAAACACTATATTAGTTCTTATGAGAGGGAATTGACGATCGTTCTTGTTGGCTTCTTTTTAATCGGAGCTATCATATTAATCCGGTAGTTATGAACAGCTAAGACTTAACAATCCTTGCGACCGAAAATGAACGGTGGGCAGTGCAACGATTGCGGGCACAAGATAGGTAGGGCTTCTAATTTGAGTTAAGAAAAGAAAAAAAATGGACAAAATTTTCAGCGCACTCGTCGCCGAATCAAGCTCAAAATAGATAATGTATCATTTGC